AAAAAAAAACAAAAGAATGAGGGTTCTCCTGACCCACCTCCTACAGTAATGAAAATAAAAACAAAAAGAAAACAAATGGCACCTAATTAAACTCAAAAGCTTTTGCACAGCAAAGGAAACCATAAACAAAAGGAAAAGACAACGCCAGGATGGGAGAAAATATTTGCAAATGAAGCGACCAACAAGGGATTAATCTCCAAAATACACAAATAGCTCATACAACTCAACAACAAAACAATCCAATCAAAAAATAGGCATTAGAACTAAACAGACATTTCTCCAAAGAAGACAGATGGCCAAAAAACACACGAAAAGATGCTCAATATTGCTAATTATTAAAGGAATGCAAATCAAAACTACAATGAGGCATCACCTCACACCAGTCAGAATGGCCATCATCAAAAAATCTAGAAACAACAAATTCTGAGAGGGTGTGGAGAAAAGGGAACCCTCTTGCACTGTTGGTGGGAATGTAAATTGATACAGCCACTATGGAGAACAGTATGGATGTTCCTTAGAAAACTAAAAATAGAACTACCATATGATCCAGCAATCACACTTCTGGGCATACACCCAGAGAAAACGATAATTCAAAGAGATACATGCACTCCAATGTTCACTGCAGCACTACTTACAATAGCCAAGATGTGGAAGCAACCTAAATGCCCATCAACAGAGGAATGGATAAAGAAGATGTGGTACATATATACAATGCAATATAACTCAGCCATAAAAAATAATGAAATAATACCATTTGCAGCAACATGGATGGACCTAGAGATTGTCATACTGAGTGAAGTCAGTCAGAGAACAAATATCGTATGATATTGCTTATATGTGGAATCTAGAAAGATTACAAAACTGAAATACAGTTAGAGATGTAGAAAACAATCTTATGGTTACCAGGGGGGAAGAGGGGAGGGATAAACTGGGAGACTGGCATTGACATATACACACTACTATATATAAAATAGACAGCTAATAAGGACCTGCTGTATAGCATAGGGAACTCTACTCAGTACTCTGTAATGGCCTATATGGGAAAAGAATTTAAAAGAGTGGATAGTTAAAAAACTAAAAAATAAAAAAAAAAAAGAGTGGATATATGTATAACTGAATCACTTCGCTGTACACCTGAAACTAACAACATTGTAAATCAACTCTACTCCAATAAAAATGTTTTAAAAAGAATGAGGGTTCATTTTATGCTTCTACTTAATAATTTGTGTACAGGCTATGGAATGAGAATGTGGCTGAGCCTAGTACTTGCATGACATGTGAAAGGCATGGGTATTAGCACATATTTTCAATTGCTGTGGACACTGATGACATCCGTAAAGACAGGACGGCTGTCTAAAGACAAAGAAAACAAGCTTTCGTTTACTCACCCGACGACCCACCCACACTCCTAGTCATCCAGGATGCCCCTGGCTCGCTCCACCCTATGCACCAGGCACCGAGGTGGATAAGCGTGAACTGACCCCCAGGGAAAGCTCCCCAAGGACAAGGACCATGACCATTAACACAGCCTCAAATCCTGCCAATAGCCCTGTGGGGCCCCCCAACCATATTTTGGGAGTCCAAGACCCCAGCACCACTCTTCCTTTACACATATGCACAGCCCCCCTGAAGGCACTGCCAACTCCTTCACTCTTCGCAGCATCAGGCACTGCAAGGAGCCAGAGATTCAACAGGACCACAACCTAGGCCTTGACAGTAAGTGTGATATGAGTGGAAGAGGCGGACAGGTCACTGAATCCAGAGTGGCAGGTGTGGAGAAAGAAGCAGAAAAGGATTCTTGGACGAAGCAGTGTCTAAGTAGCCCCCAAAAGCCTGGTAGGAATTAGCTGGGCCAAGAGGCAGGGAGCACACTCCAGAGGCTCACGATAAGCAAGAGTGGAGGGTTCCCAGACGGTGGGTTAACCCTGGCTGGATCACTATGTTGGGAGGCGCTGGTGATGAGAAGCAAGGCTGGACACAACGTGCCTGGAAGGGCAGACTTTATCTTGGGACAAAGGGAGCCTCAGAAGGGTGTTTGAGCAGGTGAGTGAAGTGACCAAATGTGTATTTTTTTTTTTGCGGTACGCGGGCCTCTCACTGTTGTGGCCTCTCCCATTGCGGAGCATGGGCTCCGGACACGCAGGCTCAGCGGCCATGGCTCACGGGCCCAGCCGCTCCGCAGCATGTGGGATCCTCCCGGACCAGGGCACGAACCTGTGTCCCCTGCATCGGCAGGCGGACTCTCAACCACTGCGCCACCAAGGAAGCCCCAAATGCATATTTTTAAATAATCACATCAGCTACACTGTTAGGATGGGAAAGATTCAAAGCAGAGGAGCCAATTAAGAGTCTGTGATGGGAACGAGGCGGGGGGTGTCGGTGTTGGCCTCTGGACCTGCAGAGAAGTGCACAGACCCGGGAGGGTGGGAAGCACAGGTTCACGTCCACAGGTGCCCAATCAGAAGTTCGTGCTGAAAGGACACTGGTAAATGCCTAATTCTACAAAGCAAAGGCTAAAGTTCAAGACAGTAACATGATGTTTCTGGTTGGCCATAAGAGGTGGGGGGGGGGGTCTTTTGGCAAAGGGAGGGATCATGGCTGAGCGAACCCCTCGTCAAGGACGGGCTCACAGATGCCTCCCCCAAGGGACACGGAGGGAGTGGCCTCCTCTCGAAGTTTCAGAAGACAGCCAGGATCCTCGTCAACCGTACTCCCACCCAGAAGGTGGGAGGAGAGATCGAGCAGCCTCTTAAGGGCCCTTCCAGCCCCTGTAGGGCTGTTTATGAAGCCAGATCAGAACGTTCTGCAGGAAGAGCAACAGAAAAGAGATGGGAAAAAGCAGCAGAAGTGGCTTAAGAATCAGGCAGTGTGTCACACGAACAAGGGCCTGACCACCAAGCTGCACAGGCAGGGCAGGCAGCAGAAGGAGAGGGCAAAGGAAAGGGCTTCCTAGGCCAGGGTGTGAGAAGAGAGCCAGAGAAACCCTGAGAACTCCCCAGGGCACCTCTGCTCAGCAGCACAGAGAGTTTATTTTCAAGACAGCAGAAGCAAGTCAAGATAGAAGGCTTGAAACTGAAATGCAAACAGGAGAGCCTCGCCAGGCAGGCTTTGTCTTCCCAACCCCATCTGAGAAAAGAGACGCGCCCTGTGGGAGCGACAGGTGCCCCAACAGAGCTGCATGCAGGGCAGAGCACCTGCACCTCCTCGGAGAAACAGGGAGGGGCTCCCGGGGGCCCCAAAGCCTGGAATGGCAGCCCCAGCCTGGCCCCCAGCCACCAAAGGGTCCTCAGAGCACTCATGGGCATCCTCGGTGCGGGCCAAGCTTCCAAAGAGCCTGACAAAAGCAACACCTCCACCACCACTCCATCTGGACAGGATAACCAAGGCCTCAGCAGCCTGGGCTGGAGTCACACAAGCCCACGTGGTCACAAAGCTTATCACACGCTGATGACAAAAGCTGGAGGGGCAACTTAATCATCTAATAGGCAGTTTGTTCAGTGGATGGATAGTCTTTCAAAGAGAAAGAATAATCATCATGCCCAGGATGACACAAATTTGGAACCTTAGACCTAAAGGATGCTGGTCACGATTCTTGGTATTCCTGGTATCCCATGCGTCCCTGGCCCACCCCTAGACCAACTTCCTACAACTGGCACCTTCGCTTCTTGTCTCCCCACCGAAACACAGGCTGCTCTACATGCGAAACGAAAGAGGGAGGGTCGGTGACCGCCCTTCACGTCCCTTACACATCCGCGGGCTTGTCCACTGTCCCATAGGACAATCAGCATTCCAAGCGCCCACGGTTGTAGCTAAACGGTGGTACCTCGCGTGGCCGAGTGAGCAGAAGGCTGACTCCCGGAAGACACCCGCATCCCTGGCCTGGTCCCCGCCACCTGACAGAAAACAACTGGGGGAAGGGCAGGAGGCAGCCACAGACACGTATGGCCCGTCACGGCACCCTTTTACAATGTTCTCATCATGGAGAATTGAAAGTGCACAGGGACGGAGAGAGTAGTACAGGGAGCCTCCGCACACGCATCGACCGGCTGTGATGACCTCCCCCACCTCTACCCACCACACACACACCTCACCCTCCGCCATCGTGCTTGAAGCAAACCACAGACATATTTCCATTTCATCTGTGAAGAGTTCACTGTAAATCTCTAAAAACTAAGATGACGCTTTTCATAAACATAACCACAACAATGTGATCATACCTAAAAAAGTTAATTATTTATGATGTTACATATATTAATTCATGTCCCCAAAAAGCAGTCAGACAGTTTTCTTGGGTTTGACACAACCTTTTCCTGGGAAGAGTGTGAGGGAAGAGCCGTGAGTATCTAAGACAAGCCACACCAACTGTAAAACCCTATTTTCTTCAAGTGATGCAGTGACCTCCCGGCTTTGAACACACTGCTGATCAGACAGCAAGGTCAAATGCAGCTCTGTGGGCTCCCTACAGGGGACGGGAGGTGAGATGTTCACAACGATGACAGTATTATTAATAGCTAAGGTGAGTACTTAATAAGCCACCGCTCTACCAGGCCCTTCACACACCTCATCTAACCTGGTCCTCACCGCAGCCCTGTGAGGGAATGTCTTTCCCCTCCCAGACTCGGGAAGCTGAGGCCCAGGCGGCTTCAGCAAGCTGCCTGAGACCTCACAGGACCCCGTGGCGCTGGGGCCGATGCCCAGTCCGTCCAACTGCAGAGCCCACGTTCTTCGCCCTGTGCCCTGTCGGTGAAGCACGCCCCACACCGACATCTGGGCATTCCTCACCAACACCCTCCCACCGCGGCCCTCTGTCTCACTTGTCTTGAGACATCCCCAAACTCTTCCGATATCTCTTTCTTCTCAATCCCCAGAGCAGCGGGGGATCCTCTACAAGTATGTGTCTCAGGGGAAGATGGGGTGTCCCTCCGCGATGGCTCAACCGCCTCCAGAGAGCTCTGAACTGAGGCACACTCACCGAACTGGCCGTCTGCTCTCACATACAGCTCGATGACGCCGTAGGCGATGGTGGTGGGAGCCGGGATTTCCAGCACCACATTGCTGTCCTTGATGATGTTCCCATCGTCCGTCGCTGACACCTGTGGACGAGGGCGCATGCTCCCACCTGTGTGCTCAGGCTCTCCCAGGTTTCTCCTGCCCCCATGTGGCCAGCCTAGTGCCTGTGCACAAAGAGTGCCAGGAAAATGCCCATGGAATGGAGCAGAAAAAGGGACCAGCGGGCAGGGGCCAGGATTTAATCCTTGTCGGCCCCATGATGTCCTACAAGTATTCCAAAGCCAATGGCCAACCTGGTGGCACAAAGGCGAGATCCCAGTTTGGGATACAATGAAGTTAGGTCTATGGTGCTGAATAAAGAAGACAAAAAACAAGATAACTTCCCATTTCCCTCATGGAGGATTATGGAAACAACTCTGAAATCCTCAGTGGTAAGAGAGCCCGACTAGGAGAACCTAGCTGAGAGCAAGACCCCCCGAGCACATCCTCCTGGACCTCGTGGATGGCACACTGTACAGTCAGATAACTCCAGGGGAGAGGCACAAGGATGACAGAAGGGTGGGCAGGCAATGCCGAGTCAGGCACCAAAGCTCTCTCCTTCAAACCCTGTCACAAATATGACCCTTGCCCACCGTGGCCTGGGGAGGAAGGTGAGAAGCTATTCGTTGCCCAAATGCTGGAGATCAGAGACATCTTTAGCGACTTGATCCTGGTCACAGTGTGATACCAGCTGGTCTCCTGACTCCCAGGCAGGCTCCAGGCCTTTGGTGGGGGTCACCGTGGACGGAAGTACCGGCGGGGCCAGCTGAAGCCATCTCCCATCAGGCCTCATCACTCTGTCCGGCCTGCCCACCCCAGGGAGAGTCCAGCCCCGAACCTGTATCTCCACCTCCTAAATACAACTTTTCTGGGTCCTCTAGTATAATTTGAAAGTTACCCCAAGAAGTAAATCTCTAAGAAGAGAATATCGGGCACCATGGCAAGCTGGAGGAGAGACAGTCTGGGGCTGCAGCCTCCTGTGCCAGTTCGGTTCCACTGAAGCTCAGGGACCAGCTTGGTAAGACTGTCTGCAACTGAATCCAGAAGCATCTGTGTATGTATATAAAGACATATGTACAGACCTTTACCTTCCCTAACTCGATCCATTAGGGATATAAGGCAGCTAAAGCAAAGGAATCATTTTGAGACCCTTGGCTCTGAGGGGCTCTAGGGGTCATCTGTGCGTCAACCTAGCCAATGCTCATTTGACCCATTTGCTTTTGGGAAAGCACCTGATCCAACCCTGCACGGCCCGTCCAAGTGTCCTATCATCCCGGCCTTGGGTTTACTTCAGGAATGAGCACGGACCGGGAGGGTCCAGTGAGTGCTAGCCCTGAAGCACTCTTTCCACTGGGGATGAGGTGGGAAGAAAGCCAGGAGCTGCCTCCCCACAAGCTTATATGAGAGGGAATCTACCCCAGGGAAGGCAGCCCACAACCTTCTCTTGAGTCCTGGATCCAGAGGTGACTGAAGCTAGATCACCCCAAATGTTTCAGTTACATGAGCCAATAAATTCTTTCTCGTTTAAACCAATTTGAGTTGGATTTCTGTTAACTCACTACAGAAAGAATCCTGACGAATGAAGACCCCACCCAAAGAGGCCCCTGACTGAGGCCCCCGTGGCCTCTGACCCGGCACCTCCACCCGCTGGGTGCGCACCTGCACGGTCTTGGTCTGGATCCCCACCATGCCACCGCACTTCTCCTCGATCTGGACGTGCTCGGATATCACACACGTCCGCGTCGTCACTATCTTCTGTGTCAGGACACACAGGACCTCATTCTTCCTCTCCAGCACCTGCTGCAGCACTGAATCCTTCAGATTTATTGTTCTGAAAAAGAAAAACGCCCGTGAGCGGCCTCGTGCCTCAGGGGAGACTGATGCAGCGGGAATTTTCACCTCTCGCACAGCTGGCGGCTGAGGAGCAAACAGGTGACAACCAGCATCGTTTATTTTCCGGTGATGAGAGAGGGGGCAGTTCATCCGGAGAGGCAGAAACCGAAGTCTCCCAAGGCCACCTCAGAGCTGCCAGGCCTCCGGAGAAAGGCTGGACACCGGGGGGCGGGGGGAGGCGCCTGTCAAACAGGAGCAAGAAAGAAACCCAGCGGACGTGGCAGCTGCGGTCCATCTGCTCACACCGGGGACTCCACCCTGTCATTTAACCGGAGGCCGCGGGACCACAGACATCACAGGTGTGGGCAATAAATACAGGATTTCTCTGGGCGGAATGCTGACCAGTGCTTTTCACAGAGGAGAGGGGAACAGGCTTGAAGGACGAACAGCAAGGAAAAAACTGGACTTGAATTTAAAAGGTACTTTTTAATCTGTCTGTCCAGGAAGGACATGTAATCTCTTAAAAGGGATTTTACATCATTTTACAGATGGGGAACCTGAGGCCACTTAGGCGTGGCCTGCCCAGGTCACCCAGCAGAGACTTGGGGCTCCCAGGTGGCTCCTCTGGGGAACTTCAAGAACAAGGTAAATTTCCATCTACGGAAGATGATTTGTTGCTTAGAACCAAAGATGAAGTGCCCTCTCTGGAGGTCCTGTTCCATGCTGTTGAGTTTATGGAGTGGACAGGAAGAAAACCAAATCAGAGTTAGTGTCAGCACAAGACCAATTACAGTGTTCATCCTGTGTTTAAACACTCCCAGGTTAGTTACGTTGAAAGCTCACCACCATCCCCAACAGCGGTGGCCACCCCGCCCCGCAGGCAGACGCAGGTTCTCCAGGCTTCAGCAAGCATCCCCACAACAGAGGCAAGTAGCTGGAAAGGTCCTGTCTCCATGTAAAAAGCTGCCTGGGGTGGAAACAACCCGTATCCAGAAACAGATGAACAGATAGGCCAACGTGGTCCATACACACAGTGGGACGTTATTCAACCACAGAATGGAATAAAGCTGACGCGCCCTGCAACACAAACGAACCTTGAAGACATTATGTTGAGGGAAAGAAGCCAGGCACAAAAGGACAAATATTGGATGATTTTACTTATATGAAATAACTAGACTAGGCAAAATTTAGAGCCACAGAAAGTAGATTTGAGGTTACCAGGAGCTGAAGGAGAGAGTATGTAAAGACAGGAAACACTGTTCGATCTCAGTAGTGGTCAAAGAAATGCAAATTATAACAATGTTTCACACATATTAAATGTCATAAAGACAAACTGACAACAACAATGAAATTTGGCTACAAACTTAAAAGAAATGCGTACATGGGAAACCCAGAGGATAGTACACGTGTGATCGGGAAAGGTTTCTAAAACGAAATCTCCAGGTTCAAAGAAATCTTCCTACAGCTAAAGCATGCATGGGAAACCCAGAGAATGATACACCGTGTGATCGGGAAGGGTTTCTAAAACGCACCTCATTTTTCATCTCCTGGTGCGCGGGTTCGCCACTCCAGCCGCTTTACTAACAATCTCCCACCTTCGGAGAATCAGCACCTTTAACCTCCTGTTTCGTACAGTTTGCAATTTGTCCGGAGGATGAATGGGAAGAGGGGGAACCAATGAGAGACTAGCTCTAGGTGTTTGGACGGGCACATGTCATTCCAATTTCCCATCAGGAAGAAGAACTAACCAAAGGCTCAGCCTGCCCCCCGGAACCAGAGTAGGGCCTGAAGCAATCCTGCGGTTTTGTGGCCAGCTCCCAGAGGGTTGGACCCAAAAGAACACATCTAGAGGCGAGGGCAGGGGAGTACACACTGAATGCGGGAGAAGAGCGCCCCTTCCTCACCCAACGGAACTGCTGCTCCCCCCACCCCATTCTCCCACGAGATCACCCGCCTCCCACGTGCCCGCAGCTCTGTGCAACACAGACATCTGCAGTCAACGTGCAGGTGGGTCCCAGCTTCATCTCCTCCTCGCTGGGTCACTGCCTCTCGTCTCTGAGCCTCAGTCTGCACATCTGTAAAGTAAGGGTTGACTACGAGGCTTACCTGTAGTGACCCACACTGCACCCGTCTGAAAATGTTTCTTTCCTTCCACTATTGGCAGGGAGGCCAAATCAAGTTCCCTCTCCAGGCTGGCCAAAGATATGGCCACAGTTTTCAGGGGAGCCTTCAGCCGGGGAGCAGACCCTCCAAGCAGCTAAGAAAACAGCTACCCGGATACAGGCCAGGAGTTCCTGGGGGAGGAGAGCAGGCAGGAGCTGCCGGAGGCAACAGGTGGGGATGCACTAGGAAGCGTGGCTCCATGCCCGGCACGGCTGCCAGGTACCAGGCTGTGGGCCAGGGACGCCAGCGGGAACAGAGGTTCCTCTTCTAAAGTACCTGAAAGCTCCCCAGGCCCACCCCTAATGAAGCGGGCTCCTTCCCAGTCTGAAGCTTTAACTTCCATTCTCTTTACTTCTAAGGCTTGGAAAGCCAAATACAAACAAGACAGAAGAAACCCAGAGAAGACTTTTAAAACTCTAACAATATCCAAAAGGAGGGAAGCAGTTTTCTTTCCCAACACATAATGCAGCCCCCAGGGCCCCTCCCATAGAGACAAGGGGAGGGCACGCTTTCCGAGCAGACCCCCATCCCAAACTCATTCATTTCACTCCACAGATAACTGGGTCCAATTATGTCCTGGGCTAAATGCTGGAGATTCTCAGTGAGCAAGACCAAGGGCATCACGGTTGCCACGACCCTCCTGTGTAATGGCCCTTGATCATAACATGTCCTAGAGGAATAGGGCTTCAAATGGAGTTCTGATAAGGCTCTTCAAAAAGTAATGTGCGGGCTTCTGTGGATAAATTATGAAACTACAAGGGCCCCAGGGGACGACTAGTTCTGAGGTAGAAAACCAGTTTCATCTTGAATACCACCTCTGATGGATCCATCAATGATCGCTGCCTGGCTACTGGGAAAGGATTCTAAGACTGGGTCTAGGCCAGGAGGCAGTGAGCAGGGAGAAAGCCATGACTGACTCGCAATGTCTGCACAGCCCTGGGAGGGGACGAGGTCCTGATCACTCGGATCTAATCCAGTGTCTGTGCTCAGAAAGGGAGACCGTGGCCCTCAGAGGTCACAGACTGGCCTGAATCCCATGGCACACATCTTCTGACTCTCAGACCAGTGGTCTTTCTACTACACTGCTCTAAAAACTGATGGCAAGAGGCTAGGGTACAAAGGCACTCTGAAGAAACCATGCAAGACTGCAGGGGGTTTGTTCCACCATCTCTCCAGGAACAGAGATTGGGACATTATAAAGAGCCCAAAGATGGTGGCCGGCCTGATATTGCAAAAGTATTAAGCAAGAATTACTAACCCACAGAAATGTAGCTATGTACTGACGATTAAGGCTTTAGCAATTTTGGTATTTCTCCTAAAGGGTTTTGATTTATTGGCTAACACTAAAGGAGAAGTGTGTTCGCAGACCAGCTGTACAGTGGAAAAATGAGAAAGGCTGTGGAGATTAGGTCCATGCACGTTGCTTGTAAACTTGGCTTTGCTCTTCTGACACTTCGTTAAGCAGCGAAGTCTGCTTCTCTTTTGATAGCCAGCCTCCTCCAGTCTAGAGACCTGGCAAAACACCCCACCAAGGCCGTGACTAGAGTGTAATCTCGGTAACCACCTTCTCAAACCCTGAAGCACGTGCCTCTGCCTCTTCCACTGCCTGCTTATCCCCCCGGGGGACAGTCCTTGCCCCGTTAGAGTCTGTATGCTCCCAGAGCGGGCTGGGGAAGGGCGAGCACTTCCACATGTCCGTTTTGTTCCTGCAGGCACCGCACTGAGAACCAGGGGCCTGGAGGGCTCTGACACCCCCTGAGCGTGATGAACCACTAGCTGCCACCCCCGATTCTGTTCAGGTTTGGGAGCCTGGTACAAGGGCGTGGAAGGGGTAGCTCAGACCCACAGATGAGTCTCGGCCCTTCCTGGTAACTGCTGTTCTTATCAGGGATTGGGTAGGATGGGCCACCCGTGGTAATTCTGGCCATTGAGACTTGAGGAAAAGTCTGTTGGGGGTTCCTGGAAGTCTCTTTCTCTCTCTTAAAAAGAGGCACAAGGAAGAGACTACTTTTCTGCCTCTGGGTTTCCTCTGGAATGCAGTCATTTGGGCACCAAAAGGAGAACTGGGCAGCTGGGACAAGAAATGCATGGAGACTACCACAAAGGGGTTCCACGGGGCCACTGAATTAACCAGCCACCGCGAGCCTCAGGTGAAGGTGACTCACCCTACCTGGGGAGGTTTCCTTACGTGAGGTAATAACAGATTTTCTTTGCAACTAAAGACACTCTAACTGGTCCATGAAGTTACTGTCACCTTTATTTTACAGAGGGACAGAAGCAGACAGAGCTCGTAAGCCAGTGACCCAAAGGCACACAGCTGACCAGGGCCAGAAGGAGAATGCAGCTGAGCCTATCCAACCCCGAAGCCCTATGTCTTTCCATCTTCCGTCTCCCTCCCTGACTTCCTCTGGGCCCTGTACACAGAAGGTGTTTCACGTGTACTCGAGAACGAACAAGCAGCCTCTCTGCTCAACCCTCCTGGGAAAGCTCCCCAGAGACTAGCAGCGGATCCTCTTGGAAACCCAAGCAGCCACCACCGGCTGGCTCCTTCCCGCCAACAGTCTCCATTTCAACCATAAAAGGAACTTCCCACACACCCACCAGAGATGATCGACCTGGAGCCGGAGCCAGAGCCAGGAAGTCTCTAGAAACTTGAGCTGCTCTGCCCTGGGGCTCCACTTCCACATGGTGAGGAAAACCCTGCTCTGTGTCACAGGGCTGTGGCTTCAGGACTGTAAACCGCCTGAAAAAAAATCAAAATCAGGGCACAATGCTAACCACACATTATTAGCAAAGTGACAGGGTCACCCTCACCTCTGTGCACAGTGCCGTCTA